CACATGTTCTTGGCTCACATAGCCACCTGGAACAGGTAGTTCACATGAGTACTTATTGGTTTTTGTAAACTTATTTGAATATGCCTTATCTGGAAATTATATCTTACATTATCCAGAAGTGACATAACCTCAAACCCATGCTGGGTTTTCTCAGTGTTGGTCTTGACAGCCTATAATTTCAGAGCAGCCACCTCAAGGCAACGAAGTAGGAATATAGTTAATATTTTGCATTCCTACTAAAGTCCTAGGATGACAGAATAGACTTCTGTTCTGAAATGGCCAATGCCACAGCACAGATGTATTTCTTCAGCAGAGTGTCTCCTACTCCTGATGACTGTAAAACTGTTAATGAGCTTCAAGGAGACAAGATTTTTTTATACGGTTCCTCAACAGGGCTTTAGGCCCATATGTGCGGACCCCACGGAGTACAGTTAGTGATTCTGCAGGTTATACACAGGAAAGAGGCGTGTCTCTACTGTAGGCATGGGGACTGCCTTTGGGAACTAAGTTAATTTGGCAGGACTTGGGTGGAGGATTTCTTGTACACATGGAGGTCGGAGGTCAACACTGGGTGTCTTCCTCAATCACTATCAACCTTATTTTTTAATTAATTAAATTTTCAATTATATGTCTGTGTCTCTGTGTGTTATATGCATATGAGTGCAGGTTCCCATGGAAATCAGAGGGGTCAGATCGCCCTGGAGCTAGAATTATAGATGGCTGTGAGCTGCCTGCTGTTGGTTATAGTAATTGCCGCACCATGCCCAGCTTTCCGTGGGTGCTGGGGATTGAACCCTGGCCTTTGTGCTCATACAGCAAGCACTTTACTGACTAACCCATCTCCACAGCTCCCAGGTCAGACTTTCTTAAATTGAGCCAGGTGGTGGCACACACCTTTAATCCTAGTACTCAGGAGGCAGAGATGGGCAGATCTCTGTGAGTTTGAGGCCAGCCTGGTCTACATGGTGAGTTCTAGACCAGCCAGTCTGCATAGTGAGACCCTAACCCTATCTCAAAAACAAGCAAACAACAACAACATAAAGAAAAAAAATCAAGAAATTTCACTCTCTATAGTTGATTTATCAAAGTAACATGATGCACTTTTCTATTTTAATTCTGTGGATCAAAAGTTCTCAAGTAACATGATGCACTTTTCTATTTTAATTCTGTGGATCAAAAGTTCTTGTATAGAGTAAAGACAAGAAAGGAGCCACAGGGTCTTTGCTGAGACTGTCCTTCGCCCCCTGGCATGTGTAGTCTGTGGAATAGTCCACATCCCTAGTAACGACAGAGCCTCTGTCATTCCTTCCCGCTGTGTTCCTGTGAGGAGGGACCACTGGGAACGTGGGCTGGTGGTAGCACAGGAGAAGGTTTCTGATGGTTCTGAACTGACGTTGAACGTATTAAGTTACATGACAAGGAAGCTAGTCCACCTCCACTCCCTATCATTCTCCTTGGCAATGCAGAGGGAGACTAGAATATCCTTGGCATGCTAACATAATTTCCTCTTTGTAGCCAAGAGAAAGCAGGCCTCTGCCATTTCTACCTGGAGGTAGAAACACACAACAGATTTTCGTTGCACTCAGTTTCACAGGAACTATTTATAACCAACGGTCTTGTTTCTTCATTTCCTATTCCTTGAGCAAATCTGAAGAAAAGTGAAATGGGCAGTGGTCAGAGTCTGCACGTGACGGCAGAAGCACTAGTGTCCCTTCCAACCTGCTGACGGTGGCTTCACTGAAAACTGACCTGGAGAGCCCGGAAGTGCCCAATGCCTGAGCCTCAGCCCACCAAACCAGTTTAAATATCTTACCCATAGCCACAAGTGGGGAGGACCAGAATGCATACATGAGCGTCCTGAATTTTGAGCAGATGGACCCCCAAGCTGATCCCAGTTCACGTGCCCTGTGTGTGATGAGTGACAAGACACTGTTTTCCCACTGCAATAAGAAACTGAAATTTGGACTCACTGTCTGCTCCAGTGACATTGGGAATTGATAACTCTCTTTATTTTCAGCTTAGATGATAATATCTCAGCAGGAAACCAGAGGCTTTAAATTCCATCAAGATCCTAGCTCATCGCCATTCAGAAAAGATCGGCCTTAATTGAGTCCGTTCACTGCCTGTCAGATGGTGAATGGAAAATATAAAAGCGAGTGTCGAGGTCATTCTGCAAGTAGCAGGAGGCAAACCTGGAACTCTTGGCCATGATGAGATTCTTCATTTGCTTCTGGGCTGTGACCTTCTTGCAGTTCAAAGAGAGAGACCTGTGGCCCCTTTGCGTTGCTTGCATGAGCGTTCCACCTTTACCTCCCTTCCATTTTTACCTCCCACCTTTTATCTTTTGTGATGCTGGAGTCTGGACCTCCAGGACCACATTAGTTAAACCTTGGATTCTCAAGTGGCTGAGTCCTGGAAGAACTCCAACTCCATTCAGATTTTGTAAATGTGTCCTAGAGACACCTTCTGGCTCAGGAAACATTGAGGAAGAAGGGCTGGAAGATAAACCCGAGCACAGGATGTCTGCTGTGAGACAGTCTTCTATAGGTGAGAGGGAGAGGCACCTGTGCATCATTAACAGTACAGCTGCCTAAGCAAGGCCTGCATGATGACACCAGTCGAGAGTCCACTGTGGACGGGTAGAATGTCCCAAGGCCCCATCCCCAGATGAAGGGCTACAGGCAGTTATGGCTTCTGGGAGATGGAGAATCAGTCTTCTCTAGTGAAGAGCCCCATGCTAGCTTATGTAGTCCCAAGTGGTCATTCCTAAACACACACACACTAGCAACATTAAGTGGACTCAGCAGGTTATATTATATAGGCGTGTGTGTGTGTGTGTGTGCGCGCGCGCATGTAACAATAATCAAAGAAGAGGTCATGAGTTCGAGGGGGTACACAGGAGAAGTTGCAGAGGGAGAGGAAGGATAGAAAAGGGATAAAATTCTCAAAGAAATTAAAAATAAATGATATTTTTAAATATGCCTGAGATATAGTGAGCATTCACACAATTATCTTTTCCCCTTCTTTACAAGTTTCCTGACATATATGTAAATCACTTTATTTACATTATTTCATTTTCTTTTAAGTTTCTCTCACCAGGATTATGGCCCTATTCCTTTTTCTAGTTGAAGAAATGGGCTTGAGGACTTGAGCTCTAAGGCTCAGGGCTACCCTGCAAAGGAGAGATTTGGTGGTAGAGCCACTGAGCTGCAGACTCCATGCTCCGTCTGCCTTCAAGCTGGGTGGGGTTAGGTAGCATCCACGGAAGAAATGCTTGGAAAGCCCAGGTGCACCATGGGGATGACATCGCCTGCTTCTCCGTGGCTTGTCCCCCTCACCTGACTCACTCTCTCCTCAGACCATTTGAATCCAGTGCCCGCTGTCACCTTCTTATGTCAAGGCTGCTGAGTGAGAAAGACATAAGGCTGTGTCAGCAAGAATCGGCACACCGTGGAGTAACAAACTAATATGGACAATGCTTGACTCTGGTGTCTGCATTAGTGACAGGCTGCCACAGTTGTGTCCAAAGACCCAACATCTTTAGTATGTCTCCATCCCTCCTCTGTTTTCCTGCCCACTGACAGCTCTGGGAACTTCTAAATTTCCTCCATAGTTCTTCATAATCGATCTACACTGACGGTCTGTGTAGATTTAGCTGCCCTAAATTCTGATGATGGTAATTTGACTTCCAATGTGTACACACCAGGGAATCACCTAGAAGCTTGATAAACAGATCCCTGGACCCTTCCCTGGAATTCTAATACAGTAAGTAACGTTAACACTGCTGGTCCAGGGGCCATAATGTGAGCACCTCTGGATTAGAACCCCCTCACAACTGGATGTGTATTGATAGTATGTGACTAGTTAAGGGTTCTGATGATATGACATCATCAGGAAGGTGTCTTTGTAAGACAGAGAGGGAGCCATGCTGCAGACACAGACTCAGGCATATGACCTTTTTCATCATCATAGATAATGACTTGTTGCATTAATATGCAGTGGCTTTAGACAACCAGCTGCATCTAAGAACATGTTCCACAGTGAGAAGGAAGTGGCCTTTTTTGTAATTATTTGCTGATTCCTATGTTATTGTTTCTTAAGCCAGAATATGCACTGGGGCCACCTATGGGGCTTGTTAAAGTAAGGATTCAAAGTTTATAACTTTGAGGTGGGGACCAAGATGCTGCCCTGGAAATGACTTCCGGGATGATGTTTGATGCACACTGGATAGCACTCCTGAATCCCACCTCTGCCATTATAAAACCTCTAGGGATCTTTTAAAACCCAGCTGTTGGCCACCTCCCTTGATCATTCTAATTTAATTCTGAGCACTGGAACTTTAGCCCCTTTCTCAAGGGACTCCAAGATACAACCAGGGTTGGGATCTGCCAGCTTTTATGGAGAAGAATGATAATACTTGTGGACACTGAATTGTGTGTATAGTACAGTGGGCCAGGGCCTGCTGGTTGCCCAAATAGGGCAAGGGTCTCCTTTCCCTCTGGAAAACTAGAAGGTCATTGTGGTGGTTTGAAAGAAAATGGCTCCCAAAGGGGGTGGCACTATTAGGAGGTGTGACCTTGTTGGAGTAGGTGTGTCACAGAGGAGGCCAACTTTGAAGGCTGGCCTTGAATTTACTGTGTAGCCTAGGGTGACCTTGCACCTCCACCTTCCAAGTGTTGAGATTGCAGGCATGGGCCACTCCCTCTGGCTACAAACACGGTCTTGACGTCTCTGATTGAGCATGGTGTCCACACTAGTGCTGGTTCATACAAGTCAGTGGTTTGGGTTTGGTTTGGTTTGGTTTTTCGAGACAAGGTTTTTCTGTGTAACAGTACTGGCTGTCCTGGAACACTCCTTGTAGGCCAGGCTGGCCTTGAACTCACTAAGATCCATCTCTCTCTGCCTCCCAAGTGCTGGGATTAAAGGTGTGCCCCACCACCACCCAGTCCAGTGTTCTTTTTTGTTTTTATAATTTTCTTTCTTTCTTTTTCTCTTCACAGTACGAGATGCAAAAAATCTAATCCCTATGGATCCCAATGGGCTTTCAGATCCGTATGTGAAGCTGAAACTTATTCCTGACCCCAAGAATGAAAGCAAACAGAAAACCAAAACCATCCGCTCCACACTAAACCCTCAATGGAATGAGTCCTTCACCTTGTAAGTGTTTCTTCCTGCCCTGCAGTGATCTCTGCCCCACATACCACAAGCGGCCAACCCCTTCATTAGAGACAGTGGGGGGGAGATATCTCTCTGTCCCCATCCCTACACAGACTGCCTGTGCTTCTGTTTCACAGGTAGTGACTTGGTTTACCAGGATTTGTGTAATGCAAATGACAATTCTTATCAGTCCCTGCTCTGTAAGGAAAGGAAAAAGCTGGTTGGGGTGTTGCAGATTGTTAAAAGAACACATAAGATGTGTTCCATCTCTTGGTGGCTTAGTTCTTTAGAGAGCTAGGAGAGGGTATGAAGCAGGAATTTAATAATTTTTGCAGCATAGAACAATGAACTCCTGGTGTAAAAAGTACTATTGCTAATGAAATAAGGAAGATAAACTCGCTTCTAAGCAGGAAAAAGTCTCTGAAGGAAGTGACATTTGAGCTTCGTCTTGGGAGACTGACAGAAATCTCAAAACAGAGATGAAGGTGGGGAGAGGAATGGTAAGAGAGAGCAAAGAATCAGTAGTGAGGGAGCACTCACAGGAGGGAGCACAAGAGGTCCCCCATAGGGACATACTCAGGAAGTGCTTCCTCTGTGAATAACCAGAAGGAAAGATGTCTGTCTTTCTGTCAGAGAGAAGCCACTGAGCTCTGCTCTGTAAAGGGCAGGTAGTCTATTCTAGACATTGTGGGTCATACAGGGTCTGTTGCCAAAGCAGCTACAGATGATATATAAACAAATAGCCAAGGCTGTGTTCTAATAAAACTTTATTTGTACATTCTCTATGTAAATAAATGGTTCAAAGCTGTGTTCTAATAAAATTATATATATATATATATATATATATATATATATATATATATATATATATATATATACACACACATACCCGGGGTCAGTATTCATTGATTCTTGGTCTAGACAGAGCTTTTGTAGCTAACTAGTATGGAGAGCTGATATCCTGTTAACACAGGAAGGAAATTGAAGAGTGTTTAGTTCAGGCACAGACAGTGGACATAGTGGATGCCATGATTGAGATGACTTAATGTATTGTGTACATGTTTGTCTTTGTAGCAAACTAAAACCTTCAGACAAAGACCGACGACTGTCTGTAGAAATCTGGGACTGGGATCGAACGACCCGGAATGACTTCATGGGTTCCCTTTCCTTTGGTGTCTCAGAGCTGATGAAGATGCCAGCCAGTGGATGGTAAGGGAGCTCATGAGACCCAGCATGTCTCCAAACCCCAGACATTGAGAGAAGCCAGGAAGAGGCTGGCAATAGCTGCCCCCACCACCCCCACCCCCACCCCCACCACCCCCACCCCATTCATCTTCATTGGGCCCTGGCTGTGGTATCTATAGAGGTATCTCTCCAACAGCTTGACCAGAGGCTGAGGGGGGAGAGCCATTGACTGGCCCTTACCCTCCCTTCTCCCCCTGTCTTTGAAGGTACAAGTTGCTCAACCAAGAAGAGGGTGAATACTACAACGTGCCCATCCCAGAAGGGGATGAAGAAGGCAATGTGGAACTCAGGCAGAAGTTTGAGGTGAGGATTCCCGTGAAGCCATGGGTAGGACACCAGCTTTCCTCCATGTTACGAAGCACATCTTCAGGGAGGGATGGATTCTTGTCACGCCTTTGGGAAGCCAAAAGTAAATCTCATGCTAATACTTGTTTATTTAAGAATGCAAATATTATATGTAATCGCTTTCATTTGCAAGCTGTTGGTATTCTGTGTCTCGTGTCCTTTGGATACTGAAGACTGGAAGCAGCACAGAGGTGAGAGCATGGCTGATTTCCACGTAAGAAAATGGTCTACACAACACCGGGAGACAGCACAGTTATGAGTGCACTCTCCTCTCACAGAGAAGGGCTGTGTGTCTTCAGGAGGGAATTTCTAGGGAGCAATTTGCCTATAATTAGCTACCATTCCAGTATCTGGAAAAAAATTTTTTTTCCTATAGAAAGCAAAGTTGTCCTGGTTTTCTTCTGTGGGATGAGCTCCAGCAGACATTCCTGTCTAGAATCCTCTTCTTATTTTTTTTCTCCAGACTTCATTTAACCAAGACAGCCTCCTGCTCTCATTCTGAGTGGGTTTGCAGGTTTGCCTTCTGTCCTGGTTGCATTTGCACCCTTCCCCTCCCTTTCTCCGCTTCCCCTCTCCTTTTTCTCCATCGCTTTCCATCCATCTCAGCTCACAATGAGCATTCTTCTCTCTAGGCCCCTGCCTTAGGGCCACAGCCACCATCTCTGATGCTTTCTGTTTCCCTACTTGGTTTGCGTTGACCATTCGATCGGCTTATGTAGTAGCCTCTGCGATCTGTATAACTGGTCATCTTTCTCCACAGACTGCACAGTGTTCCCTGGAAATCCCAGGAATTCCTAAAGCAACATACAGAGAGGGAGACATACACAAGTACAGAAACAGTGAGTCTGTACGCTAAAACAATGAACTTAACAGATGCTGACAGTCCTCAGCCTTGTGCTGTTGCCAAAGGGAGGTATAGGTCAGACGGACAGGACTCCAAAGGATGTAAAACAGAAAACTGCTTAAATTGTTTCATCATCAAGCTGATGATATTTGGCCAAAGTAGATGTCAGTGATAATACTGAAGGTCAGGCTGCCAGGTTGTATAGCTTCTGGGAACATAAATGATTGAAATGAGTCGTGAGTAGTTTAAATAAATGATACTTAACAGCAGGTGTCCAGGTAGGTGAGATCGTAAGGAGCAGTGGGGATGGGTGAGCCTGTGAGTTTGCTTCTAAAGGTAGCAGCCAGGCTGTGAACATGGCTCAGTGGTAGAGAGCTTGCCTAGCATTCTCAAAGACTTGCGATCTATCCCCATTACCACAAAAATATTACATAAAAGCGGCAGTTCCTGTTTCTCAGGGCCATGTGGTATTGGTCAGCACACATGGAAAGTCTATGCTGCCATGTCTCCAGCACCTCAAGAGAAGCCCGAAGTCCCACCTTTTTATATGATATGCTCTGGTTTCTTTCCATATTGGCAGTCAATTAAAACTGTGTGGGTCAAACAAGCAAGCAAGAGTTATCTATCATCTCGACTGTCAAAAACTACAGAAGGGGGCACTGGAGCCATGGCTTGGGGTTAAAAGTGCTTGCTATTCTTCCAGAGGACCAGAGTTCAGTTCCCAGCACCCATGCCAGGCAGATCACGACTGCCTACAGCTCCAGCTCCAAGTGATATGTCAACAGGCACACAAATAGGTACACACACATATACATAAAATTTAAATGTAAACCTTGAAGTGCTGCATGAGAGAAAATAACAGGAAATATATATTTAAGACTGGAAGAATGAGAGTCTTATGATCTTTAAGGAAGTCAAATGCAAACTTGAAAGACAAAGCTTGCTGGGCATGGCCCTCCCTACCTTCATTCTTCACTTACTTCATCATCTGCCTCCACCCCTGCCCTAGATAGGACACAGCTCTAGACTACCTTCCCAGAGAGACCTCCTAGACACACTTCCCAACATCACCCACCCCTGTGATGGATGGATCCTTCTAGGAGTTTCAGGACACTGAATGCCTATCTCAGGCAGGACAGACATCTGCTACGCTTTACTGACCCTCACACCCCAAGTCTGTCATTCATAGTCACTGTTCAGATCCATGAGCATAGGTCACATTTGAGAGAGAAACTGTTGGGGCTTCATGGGTGTGTCACTTGAAATAATTCAAATCTGAAACCGCCTAATTGATAAAGAAATATTGACCTACATTGGTGCTTCATTTTCATGGCTTCCTGGTGAGTTAACTTCCTGTTTCTCTGAGCAACGGGTCCACCTTGTTATAAAGGTCAACAGTTCCAAGTTAAATATCTAAGTAAACACGGTAGGCCGGAGGGCTTGAGGCCAAAAGGGAAGCATTTCTCTTGGAGACTGTCTCCTACTGAAAGAGCAGGGCTTGACAGTAGGGCACTAGCCCAAGGCCATCCAGCCTCAGAGGGGGGAGGGGAGGTCCTCAGTGGTTGGGATGGCAGGTGCTACCACGCTGAGCCCCATGCTTAGACAGAATGACCTACTTGAACAACCTCCCAGGATCTCCTTTGCGCTTCTTTTGCCTTTATTTCCCAGATTTCCTCAGATGATGTCTGTTCATTTCCTGAGCATTTTACCATCATTACAGCAAGGGACTAGGCAGAATCCTGTAGCTGACGGAGTCATAAAGATGCTGAGAGTTCATGGCAGCTTCTATGCTGTGTTTAAATGGAATCGTCTGGTGACCCTAGGCAAGCATATAGTCCTGCAGTGGTTCTGTGTTCAGGTCTATATGTGTGAGAGCTGCAAGCCTTCCCTCAGTGCCCAGTGTTGGCAAGGCATGCACTAGGTCAGAAAGAGCAGGATTCCCATTTGAGCAGATCTGGGGGGTAGCCAGCCTTTCCAAACAGCATGTAAGTTAGCATCAGGATAGAATCTGGGAGCTTCTTTTAACCCCACCACATTATTTTCCTCCTTCATTCCTAGACCCATGGCTAACAGCACCCCTCAGTACCCCTCAGCTCACATGAGCTGACAGCAATCTGTCCCTCTCCCTTTCCACTTTGTACCCTTGGCTGCACACAAAGTCAATACTGAGTTGTCATTGGCTGAAGCCATTAACCAATGGCTTCAGTTGGTCCTTTCAGAAACCTGCATATCTCAGGGGCCTCTCAGTATCTAGTGCAATGGGCACCGAACCCTTTGACACAACATTGAATCTACAATACCTGGAGCCTCCTTCGAAGCTATCCTGGGCTGCAGTGTGGCCTATAGACCAAACCTTGGCCATGCTTGTCCATTAGTTATTCTGTGTATGTCTGATTCCATTTTGGTGGTGATGGTGCTTGGATTTTTGAATGGGGGGCGGAGTCTTTTTATATAGCTCAGACTATTCTTAAACTCAAGATATGCCTCCTGCCTCCTGCCCCCTGGTGCTGTGTCCCATTAACAAGAAGCTGTGGTTTCCTAACCTTCCCTAAGACATCAAAAGTCACTCAGTCTAATAAAAAAAATTGAAATAAATGAGCATTGACAACTTTATCCACTGTGTTACAGTTCATCAGATAATTAGATGGAATTGTTTTCATATTTAAATTGTTGATTCTAGAATCTTGCCAAACAGAATCATCTGCAAGTAGGGCTGTTAGGAGCCAAGGAAAAGTCCCAGGACGGCTGGGAAAGCCCATGCTTGCACCTACAGGTTCTGTCAGAACAGTGCAGCTGCCCAAAAGACAACCCAAACCAGGACCTTGACCACAATATCCCCAGAGAGTGTCTGCGGCCCTTTAATCTGCTCCCTGCTTATCTTCAGATAAAGCACACACAGTCCCTGCATCACAAACTAAATTACAGATCTTTTCATTTGTTCAGTAAGTGAGGCGCCAGCAGTGACCAGAACAAATAGCCATACTTCCTGAGGAGCTCGTGTTCTGTACCCGTGGGCCCAGAGATGAAGCAGGGAGATACTAAGAAGTAAACACAATCTGACACCTTGGCTTGCTTTGCAGTTCCCCCAAACCTGGTGTAGAGGCTCAGCAGAGTCAGGATTCCAGACATCCCCCCGCAAGCCTGGGACTCTGCTCCTGCTGTAGGCTCATGGTCAGTGCTGAGAAGGGGAAGAGGTCCCAAGGATGGATTACCTCTGGGTCAGCAAGTCTTCCCTGTAAAGGGTCAAATAATATCTGCAGGCCACAAAGTGTCTGTTGCAATGTTTAGTGTTGCACTGTGGCATGGACACACCTGCTGACAATGTGTAATGAATGAAACTGTGTTTCAATAAGACTTCATTGATAAAAACAAGTAGCAGACCAGATTTACCCATAAGCCATGGTTTACTGACCATGTTAAAATGAATGCATTTTCATCTTGAAATTATGTTCCACATAATGGGTGGATTCTCTGCCACATTGTCTGGCTCTATTTTGAAACAGAGGTAGAAGGTGAGACCCTTGTCACCTTTTGTCACATCTTCATGGGGAAGTACCCTTATATGCATGCAGATGGATGTCTAGATACAGTGTGTCTGTAAAATGAATTTCTGAAATACATTGTGTCTATAAATCAGGCATGTTGTGAATCTGAGAGTGTATCAGATGATCCCTGAATAGAAAGGGCTATCCATGGCTACTAGGAAAGGAGATAAGATCCCACACTACATGGAGACTTCTCAAATCAGTGGTCTGGTTTAGGGTCTCAATACTCAAAAGTGAGCTTATCTGACAGGTGGTTGCTAGAAACCAGCCCAAGCATAACAAGAGTTGACCCATAGCCAGGGTACCCTTTAGCAGGACATTAGAGAAATAACTAGGTTAGTAACACACGTGTTGATTTACCATTGATTCCATTCCTGTGAAAGCCTAGTGCTTTCGGTGAAATGATCATTTTGATCTTTTACGTAAGTCAAGCATAGAACGGTACCTGCAAGCTGCATTCAGCTTCCATATGAGAAGGAAGGAAACAGATATCTTCAGGCTACAATTTTCTTTTTTGTTGTTTTTTTTTTTGGTGGGTGGTTGGTTGGTTGGTTGGTTGGTTGTTTTCCCTATGCAAGGTCTCTTGTAGCCCAGTTGTCTTCAAACTCACTATGTAGCTGAGGGTGACCTTGAACCCCTGATTCTCCTTCCTCTGCCTTCGAGTACTGGTATATAACCTAGACCGATGTTTTGGCTAGGCTGGCTGACCCACAGGATCCACCTGTCTTTGCTCCTTTCCCAGTTCTGGGCTTATAGGCGAGCATCACCATACCTGGCCTTTGGATGAGTGGGGAGGATCCAAACTCAGGTCCTTGTGCTTGTGGAATCAGCACTTTTCCCAATGAGCTGTCTCTCCAGCCCCAATCTTGGATAAGTTCCTTAATCTCTGACCTCTTTTTTTTTTATTTGTTTATGAATGAGGAAATGACAGTACCTACTGCAAAGGAATGCATGTAGATTAAATCATATTGCTGTGTAAATTTAGACAAATACCTAGGACCAGTGAGGCTCAACCCATGTTAGCCAGGCCTCTGTTTCTTTACCCTTATGGTAGTTGGTTGTGTGAAGCAGACATTACTCACTGTACTTAGGAAGTAGTAAATGCTGACGCTGCGTTTTTTATGAGCCGCCGAGGCATAGTGACAAGAGCATTCTTAGAATCCTGCTTAGAGCCTCAGAAATGTCTGTCAAGGCATCATTGTTGAAAACAGACCAGTGAGTTGGTATCCCACCATTCACAGCTTCTTGGAGCCTAAAGCCCAGCTCCGATGCTCCTGTCTCGGTCATGTTTGGAGCAAATAGGTTGTACCGGTTACTGGCTCCAGAGCTCTACAGGTTGTTCCTTCTACCTTCTTTCTCATTGATCCTGGTACTCAGGAGGCTGCTGAGCGGCACTGGAATATGAGTGTTTCCCTGATTACAAACAGGGTCCCTTCTGAGGGACCTATCTTCTAATGCTAATGCTACCATGGCCTGAATCCCTACCATGAGCATCTGGGCTCTGTCACAGAACATCAAGCCAACTCCTACCCCCACATGGTAAATCTGATTTCCCCTAGACTTAGACCACAATCATCCTTTGTAACTGACTTCACATCCTGTTCCTCCTTTCAGATGGTCAAAGAGGACCAGGAGTTCCTCCCTCCATTGGGTGGGTCAACCCTGAGCAACCACACCTGCCCACTGTTTATAATTTCAGTATGGCACTGACCAAGTGGTCATATAACCATAAGTCCCAGGGGGGAAAAAAAAACATTTTCCTTTGCTTGAAAATCCTCTAGGATTGTGCTGTATAATTTGACAGGGGCTAGTCATATGAAACCTTGAAGTATTTAAAATATGTACAGTCTTAAGCTGGTCATGATAGCACATGCCTATCATCACAGCACATGGGAGACAGAGAAAGAGAATCAAGAGTTCAGGACCATCTCTTGCCACAAAAGCAGCCTGGACTACATGAGACCATCTTAAAATAAAACTAAACTATGTGTAGTCTGATCTGAAGTAAGCGATTAATATAAAATATACAAGCTTTCAAAGACACAGTAACATGAAAAAAATGTAAAATATTTCAATAATCACTTCATGATCAATGTACACTGAAGTGATATCCTGGATATATTAGATAAATACATTACTTAATCAAAGATCATAATTACCATAGATATTTTATATTATATCTACATATGAACATTGAACATAATTTCAAAATTAATTTCAACTATTTCTTATATTGTTAATGAATATTCTAGAAAATCTAAAACGTGTCTATCTGTGGATATGTTTCTATTGTGCATGGCAGATCTAGAACATTCCTCTCAATTCATGAAAGTAACATGCTAGGGGCCAGTAAGGGGCTCAGCAGTAAAGGCACCAACCTGATGACCTAAGTTCAGCCCCCGAGCCCCACACGGTGGAGGAGAGAACTGACTCCCACAGGTTGTTTTCTAACCTCCACACTTAGGCTACGGCACACAGGTACAGCCATATTCGTGCCACAGCCCATGTGCAAAGGTCAGAGGGCAACCTTCAAGTGTGTCCTCACCTTTCTCCCTTGACTGAGGCAGGGTCTCTTGGCAGCTGCACACGCCTGGCTGGCTGGCGGGGAGTTCCTGGGAGTCCCATCTCCCCATAGCTGTGCACTGGGGCTGCTGACACCACACTGTGTTGCTGCCTCCCGTTTGTACGTGCGTTCTGGGGATCTGAACCTGGGTCATCAGTCTTGCTCGGCAGGTGCTTTTGCCTATTGAGTCTCTCTCTCTCTCTCTCTCTCTCTCTCTCTCTCTCTCTC